GGTGTGTGTGTGTGTGTGTGTGTGTGTGTGTGTGTGTGTGTGTAAAACATCCCGGAAATAAATTCATACTTGGCCAAATAAAGTGATTATCTTTATCCTATAATGCTGGAACTTAGAAAAACAAAGTTAGTGTTTGATTTGCAAGATGTTCTGAAGATACACGTTATTTTGTCTTGTTTAGTTAGTAGAGGAGAATGAATTAGAGGATTATGAGAGAGAGGATTATTATTATTATCAGTGGTAGTAGTATTGTTGTTTTCTTGAGAAATACACTGCCCCGCCACTTTAATAGTCACACCTGTAGAACTGTATGCAGCACTTTCACCTTAACATCTGTTTATGAGGCTCAAGATGTTTCAGTTTTTGGTGACATTGTCATATATGTATAAATTCAATTCTATGTTTATTATTCATAGTTTAAGGTGGCATTGTCCTGGACTACATTATATTTAGCATAACCATAACCCCATGAGAGGGTCAGAATATTAGGAACACCTATGAATAGAATGTATTCCACAACACCAACACCTTTAACTATGACCTCAGAAATAAACATATAACTGAATCTATATATTTATGGCAATTTCACCTAAAACTGAAACATTTTGATCTTCATCAACACAGATTTTTTTAAACTTCATTTCACAGAATAAAGATACAATATAAGGAAAACAGGGGTAGCACGGTGGCACAGTGGTTAGCGCCGTTGCCTCACAGCGAGAAGGTTCCAGGTTCGGGCCCCACCTGGGACCTTTCTGTGCAGAGTTTGCATGTTCTCCCCGTGCTTGCGTGGGAAACCACCAGTCCGTCAAAATTTCTAAATGTCTTTCAAAAGTTTTTGATGGATAGTATCTGTGGATAATCTTAAATACCACATCTTTCACTTTATTTACCACAGAATACTTCTGAGGTAGACACCATACTTTGGTCCAATTAATTCCATGTATATATCTACTCCAGTAACTGGTAGCACTAGGGAGAAAAGCAATTTCCTTTTGAAATAAAGAGCGATTTTTCCATATTGTTCTTTGCCGAAAAACACTTTTTCCAGTTGAGCACTCAGCTGGATCAATAGAACAAACAATATTTGGATGAGGACAACCTTTGAATAACATTAGTATGCTAGTATGCTCCTCTATATAACATTTTACCAATATGGTGGGTGTAACTGGGTTTCAGTAACAAGCAATAATATTAGAGAAAAGGATATGTTAACAATACCAGGACAGCACAAATAAGTAAAGAGAATCAATTAAAAAATAAAAGATATGGACAAATTAATAAATATTAAAAGAAGAAGAAGAATTTAAAAATAGGCCGACAACAAAGGACGCACCTTGTCATGACGACTATCGAAATGAAGGGGGCGGCAATACGTCTCTGCTGCGCTCTAGACTGCCATACCGACGAAGAAGAAGAAGAAGAAGAGGGAGGAGGCGAAAAAGAAAAAGAAGAAGAGTTACCTATTAGCTTTGCCGACAGTTCTACCAGGACCGAAATTATGTGACGTTGCTGTGTCCGACACCAAAACAAAGCTGACAAACAGATATAAATATGAGGTAAATGTGTGAAAAAGGACGTAAACGGGACAGTCATCCGCTAACAAGCTACAGAGCTAATTAGCGGCGTCTGCAGCTTCCCAGCAGCGGAAACATCAGCATTGTCCGGATCCAGTAGAGGCCAGCAGCACCTCCGATCCGGTCTGACTGGACCCAGCAGGTCCCAGAAACATGCATGCGGAGTTTCGGGCACCACGGCGACGGGCCCTGGTACGGGAGGAGTACGAGGGTCCGCTGCCTGTGAGCCGTAACCCAGAGAAGAGGGATCACTTCAGGGCAGAACTCGTCAACCAACACGTGCTGGTCTGTCATCCAGACCACATCCAGAAGATCCACTGTCAGGTCTGAGATTATCCACATCCTCGAAAACTAGGTCTAAATTAATCCACATTCTCTAAAACCTGGTATAATTTAATCCACGTCACTTAAAACCAGGTCTGAAAGTCAGTCGTAGTAAGACTGAATACATGTGTATGAATGAGAGGGAGGGAAGTGGAACAGTGAGGTTACAGGGGGCAGAGGTCAAGAAGGTGCAGGAGTTTAAGTATTTGGGGTCAACAGTCCAGTGTGATGGGGAGTGTAGGAAAGAGGTGAAGAGGCGAGTGCAGGCAGGTTGGAGTGGGTGGAGAAAGGTGTCAGGAGTGTTGTGTGATAGTAGTGAGACCAGCTATGCTGTATGGGTTAGAGACTGTAGCAGTGAGGAAAAGACAAGAGGCAGAGATGGAGGTAGCAGAGATGAGGATGTTGAGGTTCTCTTTAGGAGTGACCAGGATGGACAGGATTAGGAATGAGCACATCAGAGGGACAGCTCAGGTTGGCTGTTTTGGGGACAAGGTTAAAGAGGCCAGATTGAGATGTTTTGGACATGTGCAGAGGAGGGATAGTGGTTATATTGGTAGAAGGATGTTAGAGATATATGGATGCGCTAAAAGAGGACATGAAGTTAATTGGGATGAGAGTAGAGGATGCCGAGGATATAGTTATGTGGAAACAGATGTTTCGCTGTGGCGACCCCTAATGGGAACAGCCGAAAGAAGAAGATGATCTCAGGTTCTGCCACACTGATTTTGATCCTCATGTTTAAACTGTCCATGAGTCTATAGGAGGGTGATGCAACGCCAGGGGATGCAAAATGTGAACCCTGAAATACAATGTTAACAAGTTACACTTTGTAGGCCCATGGTTTACCCATATGACCTCCCCAAAACCTTTGTTTGTTCTCTGTAAAACATAGTTGACAAAGCCATTTAGTAGTATAATACAGGGTGGGCCATGGAAAAGTAGCCCGCCTACAAAACAGTCCACTTGCTCATTCATACTATCACTGGAAGCGGGCTACTTTTCCTTGGCCCACCTGTACCTAATTTAAAGGAAACAGAGTTGAGCGAGAATATATTGCTATAATAAATTATGTGATTAGTACAGTTAGTAAATTTGTACGACAGTTGTCACCAAGTTGCACACAGTGTAATGACATTAACTATGCCAACTTTTGCCAGCATGTGTACCAGTTAGAGCTCATAATGTCTGAGGGCACTGCCAACATGTTGTACCTGCAGTATTTCTCACTGCATATCTTTTCTACAATAAATACTGTTTTTTTATACTACAGCACAAGTTCACAAGTGATTGTATGTTGTGTTTCATGTTTTTGCAGTTTAACTGGGCCATTTTTAATGTTGAATTCAAGTTTCTTTTAGCTGGCATTAGCTTCAAGTTGTTGAGCCAACAGCATCAGGTTTTTACCACTACTGAAGTGGCGAATTTCCAGTATGAGCTAAATTAATTCACAGACAAATCACTACAATTCCAATGATAATTTATTATTACAATAATTCAAAGGCAGGGGATAGAATCACCTTCTCTGCAGAGAATTAAATAAAAGTATTTAATAAGAAAGTTAAATAACAGAATTATCAAGAGTCAGTCAGTCAAACAGTCAGTCCATTTCTGCTTCTCTCATCTCCTCTCTTCCTCTGCTGGAAAGATCAGGGATGATGGAGAGCAACACAGCAGTGTCAGAATACAGGATGAATACAAGTAAGAGACTGAGAAATAGTTGGATGTGTTTGGTTAAAGAGCCTATGGCATGTTTTTCTGTGTTTTCTGACTTATCTGCAATGTTACATTGATGGATTATCATCTTAAATGTGACTGAAAGCTCAAAAAATGAGGTGCACCTATGTTGTTGTACTTCTATCCAGAAGCAACTAGGTTTATACAAGTCTCGCGAACTCTTGCTGGCAAGACATTTTTCCAAATATATAGTCTTATGCAATACTTTATAGATTTCCTTGAATGGTCATGTTTTCCTGGCTATGTGCATTCATGCACACATGTCTGACATCCACCTGTACCATTCTAAAAGTAGAATTTTTTGACTGCATGCAGTTTTGTGGATATACTCTATTTCACCACTGCCTACATTGCTACCAGAGGATGTGTAGAAAAATATACAGTTTTGAATCACGGTGCCTGCAGTCCACATGTCGAAGTGTCCTCATTTGCATAGCCATGGAAGTTTGTCGTTTCCTAGTAATATTGTATAATAACATTTTTGTTTCTCTTACAGAACACAAAGGCTTGTTTCTACCTGTCGTCTCACAGTCCAGGTCAGTGACATCTCATCCTGTTGTTCATACAATGACATCACATCCTGTGTATTTTAACAATGTCATCACATCCTGTCTTTGTCCTGCCCCCCTCCAGGTATGAGCAGCTGCTGAGGTTGGCAGGGGAAGCTCTCTTTGCTCAGGGATTGGATGAAGAAGCTATCAGTCAAACCCTGCTCAGACTGTCTCAGCCAGTAAAAATGGAGGAAGTGAGGAGGGCGCTGGAAGGGGGAGAGAATGGACAGAGAGGGGAAAATCAGTGGGAAGGACCTGGATCAGATGGTGGAGGTTGTCCCCACACAAAGACACTGAGGCCGGGGTCAGATGTTGAGCCACAGGCCAAGAGCAGCTGCAGGTAGAGTGGTCACCAGACTTCTCTTAAGAATCTGTCACTTTTATTTTCTGCAATTCTAAACATAAAAGTTGTCTTTTTTTTTTACTAAACAAGTTTGTGTTCTTCTTAATTCTGCATGTTAACAAACCAAAATGTTAATTTTTTTAATGATGATGTTATGTATGTGAAACAGGCTTTCCTTGTGAACCAAAACAACTATAGGAGGGTTCTGCCAGTGAAATTCAGTGTAAACTAACTGAAGTTTAATTGGCCGATCCAAATTAGACAAAGAAATATTATCTTTCTGTCTTCTTTAGCTGTGTTTGTCCAGAGTTATGGTTGTACTTTATACAGTGCCTATAAAAAGTGTTCACCCCCTTGGATGTTTTACCCTTTTATTGATTTTATAAATCAATCATGGTCAATATAGTTTGGCTTTTTTGACAAAAAAATTCCAAAAAGCTCTTTAATGTCAAAGTGAAAACAGGTTTCTATAAAGTAATGTCAAATAAAAATATGTAATGTGAAATACGTGGCTGCATAAATATCTTCTCTTCAAGTCAGTATTTAGTAGATGCACCTCTGGCTGCAGTCCCAGCACTGAGTCTGTGTGGACAGGTCTCAGTCAGGCCTGAACATCTGGACACTGAAATTTTACTCCATTCTTCTTTGCAAAACTGCTCAAGCTCTGCCAGGTTGCACAGAGAACAGGTGTGACAGCCCTTTTCAAGTCCAGCCACAAATTCTCTATTGGACTGAGGTCTAGGCTTTGACTCGGCCGCTCCAGAACACTCACCTTGTTGTGTTTCTACTTTGTAGAAACTTGTTTTCACTTTTACAAAAAACCCTTTAATGTCATTTTTTTGTCAAAAAAGCCAAATTATATCGGCCATGGTTGATTTATAAAATCAATAATAGGGTAAAGCATCCTTCTTCTTCTTTGGGCTGTTCCCGTTAGGGGTCGCCACAGTGAATCATCTGTTTCCACCTAACTCTATCCTCAGCATCCTCTACTCTCACCCCAGTTAACTTCATGTCCTCTTTTAGCACATCCATATATCTCCTCTTTGGCCTTCCTCTTGACCTCTTGCCTGGCAGCTCCATCTCCAACATCCTTCTACCAGTATAACCACTATCCCTCCTCTGCACATGTCCAAACCATCTCAATCTGGCCTCTCTGACCTTGTCCCCTAAACAGCCGACCTGAGCTGTCCCTCTGATGTGCTCATTCCTAATCCTGTCCATCCTGGTCCCTCCTAAAGAGAACCTCAACATCCTCATCTCTGCTACCTCCATCTCTGCCTCTTGTCTTTTCCTCCCTGCTACAGTCTCTAACCCATACAGCATAGCTGGTCTCACTACTGTCTTGTACACCTTTCCTTTGATTCTTTTGGTAAAACATCCAAGAGGGTGAATACTTTCTATAGGCACTGTAAGTCAGATTTCTGCCTTCAACACAGTGGAGTCTACTCTGTGCTGCACTCTTTAAAACATAATTGTTTCATAGCCCCTGTGAGTCTGATAATCCACAGAACATGTTTCAGCTGTTTCCTCAATATCAAATCAAATCAAAATTTATTTATTTATTTAATAACAACGTCTTAGTGACCAAAGTACTTTACACAATTACAATAGAATTCAATAAAACTTGATAGTGAAAGAAGAATTTAAACACAGGTGAGATAAAACCAAACAATAGAGAATATCAGACTCTACTAGGTGTTAAAAACAATGGAAAAGAAATAAACCTTAGCAAAGATGTAAAAACAGCCAGGTGTGTAGCCAATGTACCATTAAGAGGTAGACAGTTCCAAAGTTAGGGGCCACAATGGCAAAAGCACGATCACCTCAGCATTTGTGCCTAGAACTTGGTACCTCCATGTAAAAACAGACTCAGTGACCTAAGAGGTCTCGCTGGCTTGTGCCATCATATCCAGTCACCGAGGTAAGGAGGTACCAGGCTGTTTGGAGCCTTAACAGTGAAAATCAACTATTTAAAATCAATTCTAAAATGGACTGGAAGCCAGAATAGGGTTTATATGATTGTATTTACATGTATTGTCAAAAGATGAGCAGCAGCATTTTGGACCATCTGGAGGTGGGAGCGACGTGTCACTGACTCCAGAGTACAGGTCGAGAGCTGACAGAAGTATGAATTGCAATTTCAGAGTCACTAAAGTAAAGACATGATTTCACGTGACTCAGTAATCGCAATTGGAAAAAAGCTTGACTTCACAGTTGAGTTGATGTTTATCAAATTTTACAGTGCCTTGCGAAAGTATTCGGCCCCCTTGAACTTTGCGACCTTTTGCCACATTTCAGGCTTCAAACATAAAGATATAAAACTGTAATTTTTTGTGAAGAATCAACAACAAGTGGGACACAACCATGAAGTGGAACGAAATTTATTGGATATGTCAAACTTTTTTAACAAATAAAAAACTGAAAAATTGGCCGTGCAAAATTATTCAGCCCCCTTAAGTTAATACTTTGTAGCGCCACCTTTTGCTCCGATTACAGCTGTAAGTCGCTTGGGGTATGTCTCTATCAGTTTTGCACATCGAGAGACGGAAATTTTTGCCCATTCCTCCTTGCAAAACAGCTCAAATTTTCTACTACAGGTTTAAGATATGGAGCTAGTGGTCCAGGTTCCAGGTCAGAGCCAGTTATAGGGCCAGGATCTCTCAGCAACACACACTCCGTTTTGTTTTCATTAAAATGCAGAAGATCAGTAGAAAGGTGTTTGAATGTTTTTATTCTATTGTGGGTGAAAACTAGGACAGTGCTGGAAGTGTTCTTTAATGTGAACAGATGATGAAACTGTGATCTTTATGGAAACGCCAGCTTAGACACACAAGACCTGAACCACAGCCAAGACCCTGATCCCAGCTCAGACCAGGACTCTGACTCCACCCCTGATCCTGACCCAGTTTCTGATGCCAGCTCTGACTCTGATCCTGATCCTGAGCCTTTGGTTCCAGGTCCTAGTTTTGTCCTGGTGGTCTCTGACAGTGAGGTGAGACTTAACCTGGAATATGCCATTGCTGTGTTCATTGAGTTGTTGATGTTGTTGTTGTTGTGTGTCTGCAGTTTGATGGGGGGGTCAGGGAGATCCGGCGTACTCCATTCTCTCTCCCAGAGTACCTGCAGCTCAGTCTGGAGGAGGTAACACACCAACACTCTGTATAGTTGAACTGGATCCATGCTGGACCATGTGACCATCAGACAGGATCATGTGACCATCAGTTGAACTGAGCTACAGAACATTAGGTCATCTAAATCAAAAGTTGAGTTTAGTCACACAAAGAGCATCTATGAACTGATCTTGGGGAGGCTGATCCTGTAAATAAAGTCCAGCAGTCAGACTGTGTCTCACCTGATGATCACCAGTGTTTGGCAGTAATGTATCATTTAGTGACACATTACACTAATATTATCACTTCTTTCAGTAATGAGTATTGTGTGGGATTACACTTTAAATAACAGTTACTAATCCAAGCAAAGCTGTGTTGCTCTTTCCTGAACTCGATTTGATCTTTGTGCCAGGTGAGCTATCTGCTGACGTGTGCACGTGGGCAGGTTCATGTCTGCTAGGCAAACAAACAAACAAAGTGTTTGTTCATAAATAAACAAAGCGTGAAGCTGAAAGTGCGCTGGCAGAGAGGTGAGGGCAGGAGAGAGTGCAGAGGGCCCTGTCTCACCCTCCACGCTGTCAGCAGCCAGGAAATGAACTTTAGGCGTTAGAGCCTGAGGACAACTGCTCAGCAGAAACTCAGGTCCTGGATTGTTTGAGGCCAGGGGGTTGCTAAACATCAAATATTTGGATGAGTACAACAGTAGGAGCCCATCCAGCTCACCTGTGAAGCAACCTTTAGCTGAGGGCGTTTGGTGCTAATGAGGAACAGTCGTAGTAGCAGTAGGACCGAGCTCCTGTGTCAGTGCAGTTACACAGAAAGGATGTGACGTGACGTGGGATGGAGCTGACAAATTCAACTAAAGTAATGAGTACAGTTACACCTTATATTTGCTGCTAAGAAATTGAATACAGTTGTCAAGGAACTATGCCCATCACTGTTGATTACACATGTCCCTGAGTATCAGGAAGGGGGTATGGCGTCTTCACCATATCTCTCTTTGTTTCCACCTATAGGCCTTCTTCCTGGTCTACAGCCTGGGCTGTCTGTCTGTCTACCTGCACCAGGTACCTGTCTGTCAGATAAAATAATAGTGTGTGTGTGTTAATATTTTGTCCACTGTTGGAATCAAACTTTATTCCTACAGCCCAATATCACAAATCAAATATCTGCCTCAGAAAGCTTAATAGCCTGTGCAGCATACGACACCTCTGTCTTTACATCCTTGAATCAGATAAAGAAAAATTCCCCAAAAATACCTCAGGAGCAACAGAGGAGGGATCCCTTTTCAGAACAGACAGACAGGAAATAGATGTTGTGTGTACAGAATAGAGATTTACAGTAGATTCCAGTGTTCAGATTGAAACAGTGAAATGGGTCAAATCTGATTAAATTCCATCATCTCTGACTTCTGCTGTGATTGGTCAGGAACCCCTGTCAATCATGGAGCTGTGGAGGAAATTCCGGTCCCTGCGTCCTGACTTCATCAGCTCGTACGCAGCCTATCATCACTATCGCAGCAGGGGGTGGGTCCCTAAAGGAGGGGGGGCAGCCAAATACGGCGTTGACCTCAGTAAGACTCACATGCGCATGTGCGCACACACACACACACACACACACACACACAGTTGAAACACAGTCGTGCAGGTGATCGCACTCTGACACAAGTTGAACTCTGTGTTGAGAAAGGTCATGTGACTGAGATGGATTGAGTGTTCAGGGTTCTTCATCAACTCAGAAACTTGCAAATGTCTCAGTTTGCAAGCAGAGTTTCGTTGTAAAAGGGGGAGTTAGAAACCACTATCAAACTGGGACTAGTTCTTAATGAGCAAAGGAGGAACAACTGCACCACACGTAACTTCAGTCTGTCAGTGTCACTTTTTCTTCTGTGTTTTCAGTGTTGTACAGGAAAGGCCCACCTTTCTACCATGCCAGGTAACGCACATCACCTTTATCCTGACCCCTGAACCTGGTCCTAAATAAAGCCTGTGAGGACCCAGACTGACATAAACCTGAGCTGGCTTTGACCTCAAAACCACGTCTGGACCCTCAAACAGAGGTTAAAGTTAAAGGAGGAGTCATCGTCATTTTCAAAAAAAATTCCTCTTTTTCATCAAATGGCCTCTCTTTCAATCAGTCAATCAAACCTTTATTAAAAGACTCAAGGTCCATAAAAAGGAAGACAACAATAAAATAAAAATAAACAACATGTACACAATTTATAGAACCAATAAAAAGCAGTACCAGAACTCCCAAAAGGTGGCCTGGTACCTGATATCACTCCAGGCTGGATTAACAATCATCTTAATGATCTCATTTTCTGTGACATTCAACTGGAAAATGAAGTTATAGCTCAGATGTCTAATTGTAGCATTAAAAAGTACAAATTCCCATCCTGTAGAACAACCCACTACAAAATCTTGGCTGTCTCACCAAGATTCATAGGCAGTCATTGTCTGCAGTCTGAGTCTTCCATTTAGTCCCCTTCTTGAAATGGGTCCACAGGGGCACACTGTACAGAGATAAGCAATAAGCTTTAGAGAGTCTTACTGTGACTACATCACAACACTTATGAAACTTTCTTGACAACATATTCCCTTGTGCATACAAAATGCGGCATTGTTTTATCATGTCATCTTCATCTAACTGATCTGTAATATAATGATCCAGATATTTAGTCCTGGCACAAACACTTAAAACTTGACCAGATAAGTAAAAGTTCTGGGAGCTGGAGACCCTATCATCTCTCATTCTACAGATCGAAACGATGCTCTTCTTAGCATTATACTGGACCTCATGCGAGACTCCATAAGCTGTACACACATTTAACAATTATTGAAACCCAGCACTGCTAGGTGAAAAGATTACCAGATCATCAGCATACATTAAAACATTAACAAGTGGACTACCCGCCATACATCCCATACAACAGCCACTCAACTCCAGTGACAGATCATCCATGTAAAGGTTAAAGAGCAGTGGAGATAAAGGCCCCCTGGTGTAGACCATTACTAACACCGAAGGGGGCATAGACTCCATTGCCCCACTTACCAATAAGCTAGAATCCTGACAATACTGTCAGGAGCTCCCCTTTGTATCAGCTTGTTGAATAATTTATAGTGGTTGACCCAGTCAAAGGCCTTAGAATCATTAATAAAACCAATAAAAATGGTTGATTTGTGGCACCTATATTTCTGTACGATCTCTTTCAAAGCATCAGTGCCTAGATTCATTTTATCCAGCCAACTTATCCAATTCATTTTAAATCCAACTTTATTATCCATCCATTATCTATACAGCTTAATCCTAAACAGGATCAATGGGGGGAGGGTGCTGAAGCACCCTGGACAGGTCACCGGTCTGACACTCCAAGACAAACAACCACACACACCCACACTCACTCCTACTGGCAATTTAGAGTCACCAGTCAACCTAAGCTGCATGTCTTTGGACTGTGGGAGGAAGCCGGAGCACCCAGAGAGAATCCACGCAGACACAGAAAGGCCCCAGGTCGGCCGGGGCTCAAACCCAGAACCTTCTTGCTGTGAGGTGACAGCACTAACTGCTGTGCCACCAAAATGATTATCTGTAACACAGCTCCTCACAAACCTCAGATACTCAGCTGTAGTCAAATCTGATCCACTGGCCTTACATACATACTAGCTTTTAAAAAAAAAAAACTTTCATCAGAATATTGGTGCATTCCAAGAAGTATTAACAGGAAAATCTCTTCTTTCTAAGAAACTGTGACTTTTCAAGCCTCGTTGAGGGGAATTTATTCCCTGCTTTCCAGCTAAAGTCCTCACCTTTCAATTCTTTAATTAAATTTAAAAAACAATTACCTTCACTTTTACAAAGTGTGTTCAATTTTAAAACAATGTGAAAACTTTCAAAAATATACTCTTTCATAAAAGCATCTCAAGTTTCCAAAACAAACTGTCCTCTCTTTTTTTTTAAATTGTCTGAAATGTCCATCCCTTCTTTAAAGAAACGAAACTGTCTCTTTATAAAACGGTCACTTTCATCATAATTGTCTTTATATTAAAAAAATATTCCCCACTATACAAAGCGTTCTTCTACAAGTCTATTTTTCAAAAATAACCTCTTCCTAAGAAACCGTCTCTTGTATCCTCAAAACATTGTCCCATGCTGCAGAACTGATTTTGTCCCTTTCCTCTCACTGTAGTTATTCCGTGGTAATTGAGCAGGTGGACGATGCGTTCACGGGCTCGGTGTTGCGTCCATTTTCATGGCGCTCTCTGGCGGCTCTCAGCAGGATCACTGCCAATGTGTCCAAGGTAATAACAGATCAGGGTTTATCAGACTTGTTTCTGGTTTTTATTTGACACTGGAGATTTTCTGTGTTCTTTTTACAGGAGCTGATGTTGTGTTACATCATCTATCCAGCTGACCTATCAGAGGCTGACCTGGATTCACCTGTGTGTCTGAGCAGACTGAAGGTTCAGGTAACAGTTATAACGTCCCAACTTTATGTCCAAACTCCCGAGGACAGGAGGACACAGTGCTCTTAACACCACTATCTCTGCTGACTCTGCTCTGAATGAGATGTAGCTGCCTGCTAAGGAGAGTTAGCTTGGTCTGCTAGTGGGTCCTCACAGCTCCGAAAACACCAGAGCAACTTTCCAAATTGGCATTACTAGGATAGACTGACCACATATTCACAATCTAAGTGGTCACTTTCTTGCCTGAAAAAATATCAAAACTCAGTAAAAGGCCCAATGATTTGTCTCTGTATGTAAGAATATTGAGCTAGTGGAAGGGCCTGATGCTGCAAAGCTAAACGCAGCTATCATGTTAGGTCTCCGGGGCAGTGATCCAGTTCCATAGTGCTCTGAAGTGGGTTAACTTCAGAGAATCGGATCAAAACCTGTCAACACCCTGAGCACCAACCAACCAGATCACTGGAAAAACTGAGCAATTATTCCTACTGGATCCTGACGGGGTCAGAGTCTACATTAATGTGATAAGTATTAAATAGATATTTCTACAGAGCAGGCATATTATTGTGCTGTTTCAGCCTTTCTGGATTTCTAACAAAGGGAGGGAGTCTGCAGCCTTCATGATCAATACCGTATTTTAAATCCACAAGATTATTTGAGTACAGACTGAATTCCTAACTGTCAGTGTTTTCACAGGCTCCATCGCTGCAGCTCAGAATAACATGAGGACACTCTGTGATAATGGTTTAGAACAATAATCCATGCTCTCTCAAAAATGTCCCGTGATTATACAGTAAATGACCATCTGACCTGAGGTGTAGCTCCTCCCCGGTGTCCTCTCCTCTCCACTCCAGCAACACAAACTGTTGGATGTTTTGACAACAGTTTCTTCATCATCAGACAAAGGAGAAAACAATACTCACTAAATAAAAATAATACAGCACTAATGTACAGGTGGTTCTTAGACTTTGCTTAATATTTGAAAAGTATTTCTAGAGTTTCTATAGTTTATTATTCTATTCTAGTTACGTGGCCATTCACCTGCCTAGACATGGATGGGTTTGTCCCAAAAAACAAAGTTCTTGCTCTGATGTGGTCACAAATTTAAATGGCAAAAGGTGAAATGGTAACAAGTTTATGGTAGGGAGTCTGTTTAAAAAGGTTTTGTAGTTTAAAAACCTCATAGTCAAGACTGTTATGTTCATGTAGGTTCTGTTTTGTTCAAGCACTTAAAGTTGATTATTACTCAGTTTAGGTGAATCTACATGTCTGCACTAAAATATACAGTAAAAAAATTAGAACAACAAGGTTAAAACTAAGGTGCATTTTCAGTAGGTCCCCCCGACTTTTTCTTTCAGACAGGCTAGATCCGACCCTGCTTTACTGGGGTCAGGTGTTGGAGTTTAGGCTTTACTGGGTGTAATACCCCAGTTCTTTAATTGGACAGCTCTGAATAACGAATGAGTCCATCTTTTTTCATCTGATTTATTTTAACCACAAGTAAAAAATTACAAACACAACCTGGGTTGCTCCCCCTTCCAGAGGCACACACACACAGGCTGCTCGAAAGTGGAGTCCCTGGCCACACAGAGCCTAATACATTTATAAAGTCTGAGCTAACCCCTAACCCCTTACCCTGATGAAGTCAGTCCGAAGACTCCATCTCTTATCTAGTGCTCCACATGCTTTGAGCAGCTGTGTTTCTACCTAGTCATAACAAAATGAAGAATTTCAATGTGTGTGTATGTTGTCACATGGTGTGTAGCTAAGGCATTCATTCAGACATAATATTCTAACACAAGGTTAATACAGGAAAAGAATTGGTGCCTATGGTTCACTTTTCAGAATCAACATTCTGTCTGCTAACCTTGAAACAAAACAGACTAGAGCAGACTTTAAATCGTACTAAACTGCATTACTAACACATTGTCTAACAATGATCTAACTGATTTACTAATATCTAACAAATTCCCCCTTTTGACACGATTTTTATCGTGTCAACCTAAATCAAATGTCCCTGTTGTCCCAAGATGTGGCATCCAAGGAGGAGACAGTCCTGTCTGATCCTTAGATGCTCCTTTGCCTAGCCACGCCTGCCTTTCAGTAGGAGCAGCTTTATTCTGTATTTCCCTAATAGTCTGCAAGCTCAACTCTGTCTCATGAACGTGACCCCCTTTTGCAGGGTCTTGACTCACCTGTTTAGCTCTCTGAGCTGGACCTCCTGGGTCCCGAGTGCCTGTACCAGGCTCCTTAAACTCTGACACCTTAGGTCTGGACCCTGTCTGTACTGAGCTTCCAAAGCTCTGACCCCTTAGGTCTTGGATCCCTTTCATAGCTCCCTGAGCTACCTGATATCCAGCTGCTACCTTGGCAGCCAGATCTGCTGCATTATTACCTCTGTTTATCAGAGTCTCTGTTCTCTGATGTCCCTTGCACTTGATAACTGTCACCTGCTTTGGTAGCAACAACGCTTGCTCTAGTTCCAGTAACCGCTGCAAGTGTTTTACTGGATCGCGAGTTGAAGTCACAAAACCTTTTTTCTTCTCCAGTGGCACAAGTCTACATGTACTGCCTGTACTGTGTACACAGAATCTGTATAGATATTTATGACTTTGCCTTTATCAGAGCAATCAGCTCAGCCATCTGGGCTGAACTTGGCTGTGGGATCACATCAGCTTGCAGTACTCTTAAGCCAGCCGTTGTGTCCTTGACCACAGCGTATGAAGCAACTAGACTGCCAGTAGCTGTCTAATGACTGTGATCATCACAGTACAATGTTACCTCTGCATTAGGTAGTGGTTCCTTATGCAGGTTCTCATGCAGTCTCATCTCTGTGTCTGTTTTGCTCACACAGTCATGATCCTGCTCAGTGACCATCTGCGTAGCCATGTTTGTTCCTTCACTTGTAAACTGTATGTGAGCCTGGTTCAACAGCTGTTGTAAGTTCTGGGTCTGATGTGCAGACAATATGAAAGCTTTGGAATCCAGAAATGCCCTGACACCATGTGTGGTGTGTACCACAGTTTAATAACCCATTGTGATATGTCAGGTCTTCAGTATCGCTCGACCGATCGCAGCGACATGTCTCACACAAGTTGGATGTCCTTTTTCAATATTGTCCAACTTAGAACTGTAGTACATCAACACCTTTCGGTTGTGTCCTCTACAAGAGATTTATTTTCATTTATTCAGACATAATATTCTAACACAAGATTAATACAAGAAAAGAATTGGTGTCATGGTTCACTTTTCAGAATCAACATTCTGTCTGCTAATCTTGAAACAAAACAGACTAGAGCAGACTTTAAATCGTACTAAACTGCATTACTAACACATCTGATTCAGCACATTAATGCCTTAACAATTATCTAACTGATTTACTATTATGTAACATGGGGCTTCAGAGTTTGGAGCTGAAAAACAGATTGGTCAAATAGTGAAAATAATCATTACCTGCAGCTCCAGGTTGGAAAGATGTGGTTGTTGTAAGAACGGAATTGATGACTGCATGTTGACATCTGAGAAAACATCAGAACAAATGAGTTTGGGAATATTTTCCTTTGGTGACTGATATTGTATTGGGTATTTTCGCATGGACAAACAATAAGAAAAAAAATTCAGAGAAGTAAACAAAGTAAAAAAAATAAAAAATCTTAGATAAATACTCAGAGCACATCTACCCTTGTAATGTATATTGTATATTACTATACAATAATATATGGGAAAGCATTAAATACTAATTTGTTTTTTCTACAGGAAGTGATTGTCAGCAGGTGGGTGTCCTCCAGAGAGCGAGCGGAGCAGGATGACATGATTGGCTGACGGGAGACACTGATGATATCACAGTGACAGAATAGTGATGTCATAAAGAGACTGATGACATCGGAGCCAGAAACACAAAGACAAGCATGGACATCCTGAAATAAATATTGTGTAGTTTTTTTTATTAATAAAAATGAAAAAACTGAACTATGAGAAGATAGTGTTTCTGTGCATACACCAACATAAAAGTTTTTCAAACATAAATGTCTCCCTTGTAGTCTTGGCATTTATCTCACAGATGAACAGGACAGGTGATTTACACAGCTGGTAAGCACTTTGATTCCACCCAAATGGCTCCCAATATGCACAACAATATAAAAACAAAATAAATACAGAATATATACAAGTCAAGGAGCACAAGTTAAAAAGAAAAACATAGACCAACTGTTCACAAGTGTGATGGCCCGGGGGAAGAAACTGTCTCTGTGCCTATAGCCAGTGATGCTTTTCAGGCTTCTCCACACAGATGAGGGGTCGTTGGCTGAAACCTAAGCTTTCAGCTTTTCAGAGTAGCTCCTCTTTGCTGCTCTGATCTCCCTTGTCAGTGTGTTCCTGGCCTGGCTGTACAGAGTCCTGTCCCCACATCTGTAAGCTGTAAGCCACACCTCAAGCATTAGCATTAAAAACACTGTGTGTAAACACACAGCCTGCTGCAGGTATGAGGGCGGAGCAGCCCCTCCCTCCTCTAAACAGAGATCAACAGAGAGAAACTACAGTGACAAAATAAAGTAGGGTGGTCCACGTCAACCCCCGAGGCTATGTTTGGTGATGGTTAAGGGAAGTACGAGGTGTACCGCTCATTAGATTCCCATAGTGAAACCGCAGCATGAGTGTCCTTGAATGCAGCAGGAGACTCCGCTGGTTCAGTGAGTTTTTAGTTAAATCAGCGAATACTGATGTTTCACTTAGTACAGGTTGTTTTCTGTTTGAAATTGAATCCTATTGAAATTGAATCATAACAAAATGTGGAAAACTTAAAGGGGTCTGAATACCAGAATCAATGAGACGGCATTGGTGAACAAAGGGATAAGTCTGTCAGGTATTTTTAGTCAGATAGACACTGGTTAGACACTTGATGTATTAGAGATGTTTAGTGTAGCCAGGATGTCTAGCTCAGGCTGTTAAATGCTTAGTCATTCCCATGGGGTACTTCAGGTTGTTCAGGTTCAAGGATAACTAGACAGAAAGTTGATTACTGTTAGGAGACAGAAGGTTTATTGTTATTGTTATGGCGTGTTTAACCATAATCGTAGTCATAATATTTGCTTATGTTTAATGTCATGACATGTCACTAGAGGTCGTGTCAGAATGTTTTAGCTACACACCACATAATCAGACAATCACACATTGATTTTCTTCATGCTTTGACTACTGCTATGACCAGCTGCAAAGCTGGCACCGGGAGACGTCATGGTTTGACGTTCCGGCGTAGTATGGGGTTAGCCCAAAGTGATATAATGTATAGGCCTGTTATGGTTCAGGGCTTTTTCATCTTTCAGCTGCCTGTGTGCATGTTGGAGGTGCAAAGACTCCTGAGCATGTAATGTTAATTTTACCTGTGATCATTGAATAAATCAGCACTGTTTTGAAGTTACTTGGACTGCTTCGTCTCTCAGAGTTAGCGTGGTGAAAAGAACTGGGTCCAACAAGTCCTACTGTTCCATTATCTGTGATCCCACCTTGGATGTTTAAGGAAGCAAAGATTGAAAGAACTTTCTAGAAAGGCAGTTAAAAGGAAAGTATAGGAAAATGTGAAGTAATTAGCTATATATAATTTATACAGGATTTGTTAAAATATATACAGATGCATCTAAGGCAGTGAATGGTAAAGTAGGATCAGTGTTAATTATACTGGAATTAAATATGATGTCAAATAAATGGATTAGTCATACTTTCTCAGTATATACAGGAGAAATAACTATTTTACTAGCATTAGAATGGGTAGAAGAAAACAAACCATTAAAAGTCCTAATTGGATCAGACTCAAGCAGATTTTTTATGAGGATTGAATGCAATCAGTCAGAGTCAAGGCAGGACATAATTCTTGTGTGATATTCAAATGTAAGAGGGCTGGAATAGATGTTACATTAATTTGGACATACTGTGGGTGAAGGGAAATGAACTGGCAGATAAATATGCAAAAGCTGCACTTAAAAAATAAATGTTTGTGTAGCAGTAAACTACAGTAAGTATGAGATTAAAAGTTTAAAAGGAAAATGAAAAGGAAATGGCAAGAAATATGGGATAATGGGTCAGTAAAATTACTGTATTCAAGTAGGAGAAATGAGAGGAAGTAATAGGAATAGGAAAGAAGAAGACATGATTGCAAAAAAATAGATTTTATGGTTTGAACAGTACATTGAAATTGTTGAAGAAGCATAATACCGGTGAATGTGAGGTTTGTAGGGTACAGGAAACAGTGGAGCATGTTTTTTGAGTTGTCCAATGTTCAGGCAGGAGAGGGAGTTATTTCAAAATACACTTCAAAGTAATAGCATGTGATTTAATTTGTGATGTTACAGAACAATCTTTAGGTTTTGAGAGAGTACCGGACGGAGTAAAATAATATAGCATACATTGAGTGAGATTATTTTATTATAGTAGTAGTAGGTAGGGTTCTGATCCACACTCCAGTCTAGAAGATGACGGTAATGCCCCTAAAGTTGTTTGTCTACCACTATTGAACAACAGAAGAAGAAGAAAGTCTACTTTCTGTACTGACTGGATTGTCAACTGATGTGTTATAATCTCGCGATAACAGTCGGATTCCCTGCGTGTGCCATTTACAGCGTCGCGCGGAGAAGAGAACGGTTGAAAGGTGACCGTTGACCGATCAGAGCGGTACTTGTTGATTATTACCCACCAACCTGCCGTGTATCCAGGTAAAGCTCCACTTTTCCATCGGTGACAACCACTAACTGGCTGTTGAGCTGGAGAAAAAGACGGTAGATACTGGAATAAACACGGCGGAGGCCTGCTGGTTTCCTGTCAGCTGCCCCGCAGTTAGCATGTTGGAGCATCTGCTAGCTGTTGGTTGTTAACTGCGGAGGCCTCAGGTGTGTTTCACATAAGGTCAAACCGGCTGATATCACATGCACATTGTGCAGATAAAACGGGACTGTCCGGCGGTTGTTAGCTGCGCGGCTAACAGCTAACGTAACTTCCGAGCTGTGACCTGGTTCTCTGACTGAGTCTAAGTAGTTTCCATTGGATTAAAATACCTGTGAAAGGTGTTAAGAATGAAAACTGCGATGTAATGGAAGGCAGGTGTATTTATATAGCACATTTTTCATACGCAAAGGCAAAGTGATTAACAATGTACACAAAACAAAGTGCATACATAGATACAACTATGCAAATTAGATCAAAACATTAAATGCTAATTAAAGCAACAATTTCAGGACAGCACAAAGTAACAACATGCATGTAGCAAACTGTAGATTCTCACTGTTCTCAGCATACTGTGTACCCCTTCGGTCTTCCCAAGACTAACCTCTCAGGGTTGCAACAGTATGTTTTTCATTGTATCATAACCGTCTCAGAATATATCACGGTTTCACGATATTACAGTATGCAATATTACAAAATTACTGTTGGTGTCAGCTACAGTGACCCTCTAATGAATGGGGAAAAGGGTATTTTTATTGCGAGTGGCTGTGATAGTTAACTGAGCTGGACAGAGTAAGAAACATGAAAAAAAACAGCATATAACTATAGCATGTTATATAATGTTAGTTTGCATGTTAGCACCAGTAGTAGAGGAAGTATTCACATCCTTTGCTTAAGTAAAAGTACTATCACACTGCAAAAGTAGCCTACTCTGTTACAAGTAGAAGTCCTGCATTGTTAAGTAAAATGTACTGTCACGAACATGTACTTAAATTATTAAAAGTAGAAGTAGGCTACTCGGTGCAGAAAATGTTATACTATCTATTCTATACAGTTCTACTAAGGAAAGAAAGTTAAACTAGAAAGAAAGTTATGCATTATATTATTAATAGCCTGTCAATCATGTACTGATGTAAAAGCAGGATTTTACTATGGTAGTTTGTGGAGGTGCAGCTCTGGAAAATTATTTTGTATCCAAGTGCAACTACATATTATTTTCATTATGGATCAGCCTGCTGGTTATTTTCTCCAGTAATCGACTGACTGGTTTGTAAAACGTATGACATTAGTGAGACATGGTGTCACAATGCTCCATAAACGATTATCAAAATAGTTGCCCATTTACTGTAGGTGTGCAGAAGTGCAGCCAGTCTGATCCTGTCTGTGCCTTCACTCACGTGTGTGCGTGTGCTGCCCATTTCAGAGTCTGACAGGCAGTCGGGAAGAAAGGTGCACGTGTTGGTTTTTTTCCCCCCTCTTTTTGCTTCAGTACCGGTAATAAGCAAATGTGCATGATATGATAACCATCAATTTTCATATCATGGTGTACTGTGAAACCAGTATATCGCTGCAGCCTTGCCCTCAGTACTTTAACATCAGAGGCAGGCGTACTTTCTTCCGTAAATTTGAAACATCAGTGTCTATACAGTCAGCTAAACAGCAGAGTCAGCTGGTCATTGAGTAATGGAAGAAAGATAAAAGCCGTGCAAAACTGAACAGAATTAAGATCAGTGAAAAAAGAACAGTTGTCAGTTTTAAAAGTGGTTCCAGTTGTGGAAGATCTTAGTCCTAATGGGAGCTGTTTCCAGCTGTGAGTAGCATCATGGCTGAAACACCTTTCACTTTGTTTAGTTGAAACTCTGGGCACCACTAGCTGATCAGTCCCTGCAGATCTGAGACACCTGAGGCTTGTACTCAGCAAACATTTCTCTGATGTATTTTGGGCCCAGACCATTGGGGGACTTGTAGAAAATAAGTTGATTTAACTTTATTTCATCCTCTGAGCTCTTGGCCGATGTGTTCACTTCATGTCGGAATAACTGCCTGTTAGTTCCACGTCTCTTTAAAGAACAAACACATAGGTGACAACACCTGGCAGTTGAAAGTCGGGAACACATGATAGCAGCAACATTACAGTCACACAAACAACAAAGTAGAGCAGAGCCAGGGCAGACTAATCCTCACCGTGCAGAAGGTTTATGATTTAAATACATTTAAAATTAAATAAAGGCCCGGGTGATATGGCCACAAATATCACAATATTTGTTCATATTGATCAATCTGTTGATCAAATAGACGGATTTGCTGGCCATTGCTGTTATATAATTAAACTGATAAATTGAAACACAACATGTACAGAGCTCATACATGTATGACTGATTATTAACATGAAGTGTTTGATGCTCAGTGCTTGTGAATGTGTCTGTGAACTGTGACGATACAAGAGAGAGTCTGATGGCTTTCTGTGTCTGCTCGCTATTTTTCTATCTGTAGACCAGCAGCAGGATGGCAGATGACCTGGAGATTGAGGCGATGCTCGAGGCTCCGTACAGGAAGGTGAGAGTCTGTTTGTCCTGTGTGTCCCTGAGACTCAGCCGGACTCTACTGCTGCTCACACAGCTGCTGATTGTCACCTCACCCAAACCAGAGCCATGTGATCCACATTTACTATATTGTGCAAAGTTTTTAGGCACTGACAGTAAAGTGATGATGCTTGGAATAGTTATTTTTTTCACTGAACTTCAGCCAAAGTGCAATAAAGTTCAAGTTCAAAGTGTTTATTTGTCATATGCACAGTTAGGAAACGTGTTTCCCTGTACATTGAAATTCTTACTTTGCCGTCCACATGAATGCCACAAAATACAAATGAAATATAAAGTAGATAAATAAATAACACAAAATCTAAGGCACTTTAAGCAGCGCAGATGCAGCAATATAATAAAAATATATCAGAATATAACAGAGAATGTATGCTGCATGGGAGCAGCATGTGCAACAGTCAATGTGCAATTATGCATGTGCAAACTGACAATATAAAGAGAACAAATGTAATCCAGACCAGTATTTGCTGTGACCCACTCCCTTTAACCAGCCCCAGTTCTCCAAAGTACACCTTCCCGCACTGTTTCCAGGTACTTGGCAGGTTCTTGTTCCAGCATCTTGGAGAAGCTGCCACAGATCTTCTGTGGATTCAGTCTATCTTATGGGGTTTTTCCATTAGAGGAAACTACCGAAATGTGTGGAGCTACTTTCTATCTGAAAGCCCCCGTCAGGCTGCAGGATGAATCTCGGGCCAGTCAAATGCCTCCTGATGGGACTGATGATAGATAAAGCTCTAAACATCTGAAGTGCCTAAAACCTTCACACAGTACTGAATATATCAGCAGGACACACATATAGATTGTCTGAATGTTGTCCTTTAATATCTGTTTTTTGAACTACAGGGTCTCAGACTGTCTGAGAATTCATGTATGACTGTTGTGCTGTTCAGGTTCCCATTTCTTCAGGTGGAGCGTGGTATCAACCGTGAACACATCATTTATGGATTTTATTCAACAAAGACATATTACACCTGAATGTGTTTGGATGAGAGCTGAGTTGTTTGTGGAGAGCACCTTAAATACTTTGATACAGGGGCTCTGTAGAGACACGTTCACACCTACTGTATGAGAGCACAACTGTCATTTTTCCAAACATCATGAGAGGAAGTATTTAATTTCAGGGTTTTCCCTACCATAGAAAGGCTCTGGTGGAGCGCCTAAGTGTTTTTGCACAGCCCCTAAGCCGAATGAATGTTAAAAGGTGACATGTTAGAATGAATGTAAAAATATTGGTGAGTTATATTGGCTGAAAATTAACGGAGAGGCGACTTGATCTCACAGTAAAACATAAGCTGCAGCAGGATAGCCCCAGCTTGTGACTCTCATCTGTTACACACACTAACATTAACTCCATGACTTAAATTGACGACAGGATAAAATGAAAATCGCTGCTGTCGGGTTTGTGACCTCGCTGCAGCCAATGGAGAACCAGAAAACACCGCCATGCTGTTGGACGAAGATCATTTATAAGGTAAAGAGGCATCACTCTGTAACACCACTGAATAATAAGAGTGAATTAGTGTTTCTGTAGTTCCAACAGCTCCAACATAGGGCAGTGTTTCTCCTAGGTTAGTTGGTCAGGGACAGCGGTCCTGCAACCGAGGTGGGAGGGTGGCATTTGAAAAATGTTCATTTTTTTTTGCCTGGTTTTCGATGGGTGGTTAATGTTTGTCTTTTTAGCATGTCTTCTGTGCTTGCTGGCATGTGGAACTGTGGAAATGCACGGAGCAGGGATAGCTTCCCTCCCCTCTGTAGTGGAAGACATAGACGTATCCTGGCCACTGCTTCCAGGCTCAGGTTCAGTAGTAGTAGGTTCGGTGAGGGCATTGAAAGTTGATAAGAAATTGAAAAAAGCCCATATTTTGGCTTGGTTTTTCTTCTGTGCTCAATGCTTGTTCATGCCAGCTTTGAGTCCGTCCACAAAGAGGACCCATGCGTAGGTCCCTGGGGAGTCAAGGTGCAGGATGTAATGCAGTGCCATGTTGACTGCATCATCCACTGACCTGTTTGGCCAGTAGGCAAACTGCAGGGGGTCTACGATGTCCTTCAGGTGGGCCAACACCAGTCTCTCAAAGGACTTCATAACTACAGATGTCAGGGCGACAGGTCTGTAGTCATTAAGTCCACTGATGGAGGGTTTCTTGGGGACTGGGATGATGGTGGAGAGTTTGAAGCAGGAGGGGACTTCACACAGCTCCAGTCACCTGCTGAAGAGTGTGAAGATGGGGGACAGCTGATCAGTGCACACTTTCAGGCAGGAGGGGGTCACAATGTCTGGTCCTGCCTGTACAGGATCCTGTCCTGACATCTGTAGGCCTCCGTGGCACGATGTTGCTGCTTGAACCAGGGCTTGTCGTCGTTGCATGTGCAGAAGGTCTTGGTGGGAACACATGTCCTCACAAACGCTGGTGTATGACGTCACAGTGTCAGTGAGTTCATCCAGGTCTGTAGATGCAGCCTTAAATACACTGCAGTCTGTGCAATGAAAGCAGGCCTGTAGCTCTGACTTTGCCTGCTCAGTCCATCTCTTTACTGTTTTGACCTCAGGCTTTTCAACTTGTAAGTTTCTGTCTATAGGTTGGTATAAGATGGACCATGCAGTGATCAGAGAGACTGAGGGCTGCATGGGGGACAGAGTGATGGGCGTCTTTTATTACCATGAAGCAGTGGTCCAGTGTGTTTTTGTCCCCGGCGGGACAAATGACGTGCTGTCTGTATTTGGGCAGATCATGGGTTAGATTTGCTTTGTTAAAATCTGATATAATTTGATTTATTTATTCTTTCAAACATGTAACAACAGTCAGTATGTAATCACACATAATTCCAGACATGTCCACAAAAATATTTTCAATTTGCTTATACCTAGTACATGCTTGAATGGAGTAGGAAGAAGTTAGACTTATCTAGTCCTACCCCCTAACATCATCTTATCATCATTGGTTTGAAAGCAGTATTACTACATGGATACATATTCTACATCCACACTCCCATCTGATTAATCATTAAGCCTGTTCTTGCCCATATCTTGATTTTAAGTTTAACTGACCCCTTAAATTATATCCCCCCTCCCTTTCATTAAATAACTTTTGAATTCCATCAGGTAATAAATTTTTCCTGGCTTTATACATAAACACAGCAGTCTTATATCCCACTAAATCGAAAAATGTTAACAATTTAGACTGTATGAAAGCTCCATTGGTGTGATCCCTATACCCCATCTTATGCACAATTCTTATCGCTCTTTTTTGTAATATATACAATGGTTGAAGTGAGCTTTTGTATGTATTTCCCCAGTTTTCAACGCCATACTCTAAGTATGATAAAATCAATGAGGAATACAAAATGCGTAGTGCTTTCCCATCCAAAATATATCTAACCCTTGCCAATATCGATATAATTTTTGCTATTTTATTCTGAACATATCTGATATGAGATTTCCAGGAGAATTTGTCATCAACTATGACACCTAGAAATTTAATTTCATATACTCGTTCTATATTAGCTCCCCCAATTTTCAATTGAAGTTCATTATCTAGTCTACGATTCCCAAATACCATAAATTTAGTTTTATCCATATTCATGGATAGCATATTACTATCACACCATTTCTTTATCTTCTCAAAATCCCCTAGAATAATGAGTGGGGAGCCGGGATGTTTCAGTTCCACGCTAGTTTTCTGTTCAGCTAGGTGGTGTAGTGCGCTAGTGTGGGCCTGCAGACTTATTATACCATCCAACCAGAATGAATGACAAACCTTCTCAGGGAGAATAAAATGGTTTGCAGTTGATGAAGAGAGTCTCTAAATCCATGTTGCAAGTTCTTTCTAACACTGTGACATCTTTACACCAGCCTTCATTTAAATAGAAGCAGATTCTGCCTCCTCTCGTTTTCCCACATAACTCTGCCAATACAATCCACTTTGTGTACCTGGAAGCTCGGTATTTGTATTGTGCTGTCTGAGGTGGAGTCGCTGAGCCAAGTGAAGCATAGAGCAGCAGAGCGTGACAAGTCCATGAGTCCAGTTGATGAGAAGGAGTTCATCTATTTTGTTGTCTAGAGAATGAAGATTCGCTAGATGGATAGACGGGAGCTGCGTCTGGGTCCCCCTCTATCATAACTTAAGCAGGGCCCCTGCTCTCTCCCCCGTCAAAGTCCCATAGAGGGCTGCGGCCCTTCCGACCAGAATGTCCACACACCTTTTTGCATTGTCAAAAATCTGAGAAAGGGTGTTCGGAGGGAGTTTCTCCGGTGAAGGTTATTTGGGATGGGTTGCATAAGACCGAGAAAACGAAGAAAAACATAAACATGAAAGTGTGCGCTACCAAGGCAGCCATACACAGCACCATGACGTTGAATTTTTTTAGATCAAGAAATGTCAGCTGCAACTCAGTCCTACTCTCTTATAGCTTTTTGTGTTGCTGCTTGTGATTGGCTGTGTGGAGTCTCTGAGTGGTATAGTCGGGCTGACCCTGATCATGATGAAGAAGAAGATGATGATGGCGTTCCTTCACAGACTGTCATGAATAAATGCCCATCTATCTCTCTTTGTAGACTTGCATAACGATTTCTCACCTCTACTTCCCTGAATGCCAGTGTGATGTGTCACAAACATGAAGGTAGTAAACAGCCCCCATCATGCATTGCTGTACTGTGGTCCCCATGGTAACATGACTGTGGTTCTTTTGGTAACTGTAAACTGTCACCTGGTTTGGGCTGAACCCCCCCCCTTGATGAGGAACAGCAGAGGATTCTATGAGATGAAGTGTTAGGCAGGAGGGAGAGCAGGAGAGCAAGCGATTAATAATCACAGGAGAACTGTGGCTGTTAGCTGTTAGCTTAGCATAAGCACCATTCTGCATCCTGACTGAGCTTCTAAGATGTCTTCTTTATTCCCTTAATTTTTCTTCTTTGTCAAAACCAACGTTACCCCCAATGCACCCAGAGCTGTGACGGGTGTTTTGAGCTAGTAACGGCTAATGTATCATGTAGCAGAAATGAGGAGCAGCTACAGAGGCCTGGTCAGCCCACATTTGTACCTCTCATGCTTGCGCTGTTCAGACTGAAATGACATTATCAGACTTCACACATCCTTGTCTGGAAGCACTAAAGGATTCATACTTTTAAAACATTCACAACCATATGCACAACATCTGGAACCACACTGAGGTTGACAGACAGTGCAATGAGTCTTTGAAAATGAAGCCGCCATCCTCCCATGTGAGAGACACACAAATGTCCCTAGTAGTGTTGCCACAACAATGAAATTTGTAACTTCAATACAATACCTTGTTGCTCCTTAAGGTGCATTGCTGAATTTGTTGTGTTGGCACCTATCATTAGCACCGCTATAGAGCGGTGCTGTCACCTGGAAGGAAGGAAATCAGTGTAAACCCTGTGATCTGATGCTTGAGGACCAAAACATGTCAAACTGACAGGTGTGTTCCCTGAGCAGGTGAGGGGGTGTCTGAGGTTTAGCGTGCAAGGTGTGTCCTTAGTTCTGGTTCTGGGCTGAGTTGAGTGACTAAGACTCCTGTCTGCTTCAGGGCCCTTCAGAGGAGTCCCAGCACCCAAAACCAGCACAGCATCCACACGGCTGAAGAAGAGCTGGACTGTTGAGTGTCTGTCTGCTGCTGGAGCTCCAGACCAACCCAGACCCACCTCTGACCCCCCACCTAACAGAACAGCCTGTTTCAATGTGACTCTTTAAATTGTGTTTATATTCTCTCTTACCCCTCCCCCACTTCCTGACACCTGAATATTGCATCTGCCTCCTCATGCTGTTCTCTGTCGACCCTGATAGGAGGACACCAAGACCACGAGCCCCGACGGACAGGAGGAGCACAGCAAGAGGTAACAGTGCCTGTCTGTCCACCTGTCTGTCTCTATGCCTGTCCATATCTGAAATCACATAGTGATACGGGAGTGATTTTGGACACAGCTGCCATCTTCCTCTCATCTGTGACAGCTGTAACTCATTGTCTCACAAAGTGATTTAAAACCTGTTATAGTACCCTCAGAAACACCTGCAGGTTAAAATGGACTAACAAGCCTTGAGAGACTCACAGTACACAGACTGAAAACACTCACTAGCCTAGCCACACTCAGGCTACAGTCTACCCATAATGTCTGTCCAGATTCTCAGTAATCCAGGTCATAGTAAGCTGAAAAAATCAACTGGACTAGATTTTTAGGTCAAAGACGTTTCAGCCCTCATCCAAGCCTCTTGGATAAGTATTTTCAGTCTACCCATAATGCAGCACGTTTTGTAGAAGACTGTTACACTGGTTGTCTGTTCATTCAGTAACAATAGTTGATATTGATAGTTTTGCCCTCAAACATAATACGACCATGTCAGAGCCAATGAATGTATTTTTATAGTAAGCCTCGTAGTTTTAGTATCAATACTTCCCTTATAGAAATGTTTTATTCTTGTTTCATTGAGTCTTAATTTCTTCTTTTATTTGCTGGTTTGAGTCACTCTGAAAGATAGCAAAAGGCTGGAACATGTTGTGAGGTTGTGCAGGAAAACTGCTGGCACAAATTTTGCTGAACATGACTCTTTTATAGAGTCAGAGCTTCACAGAAAGCACAGGCTGTCATTGCCGATTGCAGTCATACACTTTTTACTGAGTGTCAACTGCTGCCTTCTGGTCAAAGACATGCGCTACCCAAATACAGGACAAATAGATTTAAGAATTTGTTTCTGATCCCACCACTACTGGTCTTTTAAATGCTATTATGTGATTTCTGCTACTTGTTTTGTGTATTTTGGTGTTTAATGTGTATGGGTGAAGTATTGCAGCAGTTTATTGTTCACTGCTGGCTTTAAGACAAATTTCCTTTCTGGGATAAAGCTGCAGTCATGACAGGAAGCGCAGGAGTCGAGACAGGAAGAGGAGTCAGAGTCGAGAGTGTAAACGCAGTCACAGCAGAGACGGATGGAGAAACCGCAGCAGAGAGAGAGGAGGTCACTACAGAGACCACCATAAGTAGTGAGTCACTGTCTGCAGTTAACCTCTGGTGGCTTGATGCATATATCACACTGAGGTGTGTACAGGTGGTCACTTTTGGTAAGGTTGTTTTTAATAAGTTATTTGATGATATTAAAAAGGCTGTATTTCAGCTGACTGACAGGCCTATAGGTCTGAATGATTAATTGTTAAATTGATAAATTGCAAAAGGCACGATTAAAACTTCCACTAAAATGTGGTTTTAAACACTACGGATTCTAAACAGTGCGAGCAGCTTCCCCATAGGCTTCAGGTGCACACACTGCCCTGCACCACAGGTTTCATGTGAAACCCCCAGAATAAAGAAAGACACCAATAGGTTTCACTTTGGTGCTGCTTGCTGCACTGCAAACCACTACAGCAGTCAGCAAAATGCTGTTCTCCTCACCATTGTCTCCCTCCACTAACTGGGTTCAAGGCTTTGCCACCCAGTTACTGTTTGTACCATTATCATCGTCAAACACTGGGGCAGCAGCAGTAACTGTTGTTGATTCACATGAATAAAAGTAAAAAAAAGAAAGAAGTAAAGATGTGGCAGAGAAAATACATGAAAAAATGTTAAATGCGTCAAATAGCACTAGGAGTGCAGACAACAGAGGATTCAGGACCACAGCTCTGAGTCCAATACAAACATCAATCAAGTTTTAGCCTACAGCATAAGAGGAAGTCACAAGGAAGCTACGGTATGTCCACGCCTGCACTAATCCACCACCAGCTCCTTGGTCTTCCCTACATTAATCTGGAGGCTGTTCTGCAGACACCAATCCACAAAGTCCTGCATCAGTTCTCTGTACCCTTTGTCATTCTCATCTGCAAAGTCATCAGAGAACTTTTGCAGGTGACAGTTCAGTGAGCTGTGCATGAAGTCCGCCGTGTACAGGGTGAAGAGGAACTGTACCAGGAGAGTTCCATGTGGGGCCCCTGTGCTGCTGACTACCATGTCAGACACACAGTCTTGTACCCTCACATACTGCGGTCGGTTCCTGGGGTAGTCCAGAATCCAGTTTGATAGCTGGAGGTCCGCCCCAGTGTGCCTCAGCTTGTCCCTCAGAAGCCTCGGCTGTATGTTGTTGAAGGCACTGGAGATGTCAAAGAACATGATTCTCACAGTGTCCCCAGGCTTCTACAGGTGAGAGAGGGCTCTGTGCAAGAGTTAGATGATGGTGTCATCCACTCCAGTGCTAGGCTGGTTGGCAGATCAAAGCGGGTCTGCCAACCAGCCTGGTCCATGTTCTGACCCAACATCAGAAGGAGTTCTGATGTTGGGTCAGTGCTGCCAGCTCGTCCGTTTTACTGGGGAGAGATCGCGCATTCCCCATGATGATGGCGGGTAGAACTGGTCTGTACAGTCTGCTCCTGGCCCTGTGTAGAGCGCTGTCCATCTCCCACGTATTCTCCTTCTTAGCTTACTGGGAATGTCAGGCCTCTCACGTGGCCATACCGCTGTGTTACAGAGCGCTAAAAGCTGGTCTCTCATGCACACAATAGGTGTCATGGCTCTGTGCTTGATCTGGCACAGTTGTAAACAGAGAAACATGGACCAGGCAAACTCTGCAGTTTAGTGTCCGTAGTGCAATAAAACAAACAGGAAGAACAAACCAGCTACAGAAAATACAAAAATGAGAAGAAAAAAGGGAAAAACTCAGTAGTGAGCCAGAGCTGCTGCTGTAAGAGGCAGCCAGTCCTACAGCACCATCAATTAACATCTGCTTCCTCAACACTGATGCACCATTACAACAACAGGTTCTATAACCTTCTATAACCCTGTGCGAACATCATGTGTCCAGAAACTTGAGGTCAGACTGTGTTTGTGCCTGTGTTTGCAGCCGCTGGCAGTCCAGGAGTAAGAGTCCCTTTAGGAAGGAGAAGAGTCCCAACGGGTGAGTCTGTTTATGGCAGTAAGTTAATGTTGATGTACTACAGTAGGAGATGATGTGTCTTGACCTTTCCTAGCTGTAAAAACTCAGAGTGGTTTTAATGTTTAGGCTGCCCATGGATAACCTGACCCCAGAGAAGCGAGATGCCCGTACAGTGTTCTGTATGCAGCTCGCAGCCAGGATTCGAGCTCGGGACCTGGAGGAATTCTTCTCTGCTGTGGGGAAGGTAACAGCCCTGATGCTGGTCTGTCCCACTTCAGTGTTTTAGCAGGTTATGATACAAAATATTTCTTGGCTCTGAGCGAGAATTTCCTGTGGCCTCACTTGGCTTCAGACCCTCAAAGGCTGTTTCATTGTTGATTAGTTTGCTTGATTTGTAAAACAAAAAAAACAAGCTGAAAAGCAGGAGAGCCCAATACATCATACTTTATCAGATGTCCTGGTTTTTTCTGACAGTTCAAAACACAGATGTTCAGTTGCAGCATGTAAGACAAAGAAAATCTGCCCGTTCTCAAATGCCTGAAATCCCTTGGATATTTGGTATTTTTGCTTAAAGAACAATGTTGATGATTAATTTCTAAAGTAGGCACAGATGAACTAATCAGCTAATCATCTTCTTATTGCAGCTGTGTTTGTTTTGAGGGAGATTTCATTGCAATTGGTGTTCAGGCTGATGGTTTTCAGTGGCGCTGTTGGTGATGGCTGCTGTGGTCCCTCTGTAGGTTCGGGATGTAAGGATGATCTCAGACAGGAACTCCCACAGGTCGAAGGGCATCGCTTACATCGAGTTTGTGGAGGCAAATTCAGTTCCTCTGGCTATCGGACTGACGGGGCAAAGGCTGCTGGGAGTTCCCATCATCGTACAGGCCTCGCAGGTACACCCAGTGCAGTACTGGTTTAGTACAGCCCCTATCAACCAGCCTGCGTTGCATTATGCTTTACAGTGACCGTCACTGCCGTGTCTCAGAGAGGCTCATAGAAAATGTGACCTGTGTTGTCAGGCAGAGAAGAGCCGAGCAGCAGCAGCAGCAGCAGCAGCCGCCAGCAACCTGCAGAGAGAAACGTCAGGGCCAATGAGGTTGTACGTTGGTTCACTGCACTTCAACATCACAGAGAAGATGCTCAGAGGGATCTTTGAGCCATTTGGACAGGTCAGACACAGCTACACACTCAGGCTGAATGATTTTGGAAAATCATCTGTGAAACAGTGATATTCCAATTGTGATGCATATGTACACTCAGTCGACAACCCTCACTCACATTCATCTAATTAAAAACAAAAATATATAAGTTAATAAAAAATGGACAACATAAGAACAAGTACCCGTATCAGCCAAGTAGCCAGTTCCTTCAGTTATGGAGGACACTGGAGGGCAACAGTGAAAACAGCTGATGGGAGAGGTGTGTACTGTCATGTTATACCAGGGGCTGAGGGTTGCCACCTCAGTGTGATAAAATAAGGGACAGTCCCCCACCCCAGATTCCCCGTCCTACATAAATATAACAATACATGACATAGAAAACACCTACATATGAATTATGTTTATGTGAGTTTATGTTGTAGTGTAATTCACTTTACAAACTTACAGCTTCTATGACGATAAACTCAGATTCCTTCTAATACTGTAAAACATGGCTGGTGTTTGTACTGGACTCACTGAACCTACTCTGTTGTATGCATAGTTACTTATGCTGGATGCACAGAACTATTTGAACCATATGGATTTTTTCTGACTGAATAAGCCAAATATTAGTTTTTTAAAACTTATGTTATTCAAGTAAACGAGTCAACAATAGTCACAGCTGCTGCCTCAGAGTTTGATAACATTACAGAGACCAACACATGAACAGTAGCAGGTGGGTCGAGCGGGACCACGCAGACCGTAGTCGGTGGAGGCGGAGGTGAGGGAACCGCAGTGCAGTGAGAGCCTCTGTGCCTGGGAGAAATTCCTTGTATGCGCAGCATACTTGGTGATTAAAGCTAATTCTGATTCTTATTCTGATTCATATATGGCCAGAGCATTTTATTTATCCAAACGGACTATCCTGTATATAAGGTACGGTGGCAACTATATGTATGTATGTATAAGCTTTATTTCAGTCCATATCAGTACAAAAGCAACAATAAAGAATGAGGACAAAACTAAATCACTGTAATTCCCCAATACATAGTGATTAAAACACAAATATTTGTTCCAGTGTTTCCAATGAACCTATAAAGGCCAGTCTATTTAAGATACTTTTTAAATGTTGGAGATTTGTAGTGTTGTTTCCCGTGGTCGCTACCTTAGCTGGGCAGCTTACATCTGGCACATTACCTCTTCCTGCCATGCATCCTCTGGTCTAAAACCAAAATAGGTCCAGACAACTGACATAGTGTTTCACTTTGACATCAATACTGTCTTTTAGTTGACATCTGGGTTTGCTTCTGCTGAGGGTGTTTTCAGTACGACTAGCAGCACCATAGGGAAAATTATTTGTGTTTCTTTGTCCACTCACTCACTTCCTCTGTGGGGACACCATTCAGGTTTTCGTAGCAATTTAAAACACCTTTTCAAGTTTGAAAATGAGTCATTGTTCAGCTCTACTACTACACAATATATACACTACTATACAATATATATAGTATATGAACACATTGATATACATTATACCCACAGACACACAGGTCTGACAGGTCCTTTCTGTGGTTTCTCAGATCGAGAGCATCCAACTGATGATGGACAATGAGACCGGAGGCTCTAAGGGCTATGGCTTCATCACTGTGAGTTCTTTATATCATTGTCATCAAGGTCACATCATCTTATTAGCTATTAATTAGCCTTCTGATTATTTCTTGTTCTAATGCTATGGTCTATATAATGTCTATGTAGCATCAGGATAATGTCAGAAAATACAGCGGTGTCCAAGTTGATGTTTTCAGTTGTCTTTTGTCCAAACCCAAAGATATGGGCGATATGGCAAAATATTTTATCACAGAAATGGTTTTTCATACCAGTCAAGTTGTTATTTCTTAGTATTTAGTTGTTTGATTAACACAGTCGTGCATCAATAAGTATAATTCAGTAATACAGTATACATTCATTATGTATGTGAAATGCGTCATTCTACATAATTGACTACTTTTTACTTTTGGTACTTGAAGTACATTTTGATGTTAATACTTCTGTACTTTTAAATAAGTAACATTTTGAATGCAGGACTTTTACTTGTAACAGAGTATGTTTACACAGATATTGTTACTTTTTCATAAGTAAAGAATCTCAGTACTTCATCTGCCGCTGTTCAGTGATGATGATAAAATGTGAATTTGTTGTTTTCTACTTCACAAATAAAAAAGAAGATAAGTGCTGTGACAAAACTTTGCATTTCTGGATTTCCTCTATTTGTAGGGATTTATTTATGTATTATTTTACAGGCATTATTATAGTTCAGTAATATGAAATGATACCGTGAAAATGAAAGCTCACACATCATACTGAAATGGCCTGAGGAGGTCACAGTCCCAGTGAGAATAGCTGAGTGCTGCCGCTGTGGATCTAAGCCCTCTGTCAAACTGACGGGCACACAGACCTGACTCCAGATGCGCTTTCAGCACTTAGTCACACTACAGATACACTACTGTTGTTGCTCACAGGCTCTTTCTTTTGCTTTCCCCATGGCTCAGTATCCACATGAGTCAGTGCAGCCCTGGATGAAATGTGCAAAGGTTTCTTAAGAGCCAAGAAACTCACTGACTGTTTATGTCAAGACACTATTTATTACATCCATATAAGTCACAGGTGTGGAAACCTAATCTTAATAGGCATTTAGACCTGTGTGTGGCAACCTGTGTATATATTATCATCCCGTCATTTGTATTTTCTCAAAATGGCCAATATTTCACAAATTTTTCCAGGGGTACATAAACTTAGGAGCAGGACTGTATAACATGATAACAGTTTAATAAAATGACATGTTAGTTGTGCCTTGTGCCAGTTTGCAGATGCAGAATGTGCTAAGAAAGCTCTGGAGCAGCTGAACGGCTTTGAGCTGGCAGGCCGGCCTATGAAGGTGGGCCACGTAACAGAGCAGATTGAAGCCTCCGGTGCATCCTCCTTCTTTGACAACGACGAGCTCGAACACCCTGGCATCGACCTGGGAACCAGCGGACGCCTGCAGCTCGTAGCCCGACTCACAGAGGGTGATATACTACCACCTGTCACACCCACCTGTAGACATTAACCTGTATCTGAGCCCACTGACTGTGGTTTTGGTTTTGCAGGTACAGGTCAGATCCCTCCAACTGCTCAGCAGGCTCTGCAGATGAGTGGAGCTATGGCAATAGGGGCCATGGCTGCTGTGTCAGGTACGCACACACCTGTAAGGTTTCTGTTTCTTTCAACAGCTTTGAATGAACACACTTTCAGCGACAGGCACAAGATTATAATGTAGATTACAGTGTAGCGTGGACAGATTTCAAGCTAATACACTGTGTGAGAGTCTGTGTCAAAGCTGAGCTAGACGCTTTGTTAATGTTGCACACTGATAGAAACAAGGCACATTTGAATTTTGTTGTAAGAATCACCTGTATAAAATACATACTCCAACAAAACTATGTGATGATATGTAGCGCTGTGTAGAGTTATTTGAAGTGTGGTTAGTCCTTAAAGAAACTGAACAGTTTGGGATATTTTGGAGAACAGTCTTTTACAGCTGCTCTGCCTTTCAAGCCTCTCAAGGATGACATAGCGTCATTAAAGGGATTTCAGATAGGATGTGGTATGCACTGCGCTTGTCACGGGGGTTGTGCACGGCACAGGGGAGGAGGGTGCATACGTGCAAATCATGCACATTGACCCCCAGTTGCAACTGAAAAGCTTTCCAGGAGGTGGTTAGCAGATATTAACTGGTTTTTCGAGCAACAGACTTGGATGTACTACGTGTCTATGTGTAAACGAAAAGTTTTGGCTTTAGTTGTATTGATGAGGAGGAGTAGGAGACAAGTTGCAGTAAAGAAGAAGAGGGTGTGGGTCCACCAAAATCAGCCTCTCTGCAATTGGACGCATCGAGGTGTCATCACAGAGCGCTCTGCCCAGGTTGAAGTTTGTTTTTTTTTTTGTTTTTTTTACTTCAGCACAGCACGCCAGGACGGCACACATGACCTTGCGACACTGCTCTCAACTCGGTGCAGAGCAGATACATTCTTTTGCTGCACAACACATACTGGGTTCGATAGCGGAGCGTAGCACCCACCACATCCTATCTGAAAGCCCCCTTAATGTCAGATTCTGACTTTACTCGCTGTTGTTACAGTCCTTGTGTTGTTTTAATCCCACACGTTCCATGTGTCTGACCTGTCACACAAATTAAATCAGACTCAGACCCTGGTAACAAGGATCAGTTCACACACAGCAGCAGGAAAAACAGCAGGTGAACTGTTGGTACAGGCCCCAGTTGTTTAGCTGGTGTTGATGTTTGTGATGAAGTTGTTTAATGTGTGTTTCAGCCACTCTGAACCCAGCTCTCACCATGAGCATGAACTCTGCTGCTCTGAATCTGCCCTCTCAGCCACTCGCCACGCACTGCTTCCAGCTGTCCAACATGTTCCACCCCAACAGGTACACACCTGTCTGTGCATCTACCTATCTGTGTATGTACCTGTTCAGTTCAGTTCAATTCAGTTTGATTTGTATAGCGCCAAATTACAACAAAAGTTGTCTCAGGGCACTTTACACAGTCAGGTCCAGACTTTACAGTATTATGAGAAAAACCCAACAAATCCCCCTTGAGTAGCACTTGGTGACAGTGGGGAGGAAAAACTCCCTTTAACGGAAGAAACCTCCGACAGACCCCGGCTCTTGGTGGGCGGCCTCCTGCCTCGACCGGTTGGGGTGAGTGGATAGAGGAGAGACAAAAGAAGAAAAGCAACAAGACACAACAATCAAACACTGATCAGGTCGATGTGGCTGGTGACTGCTCGTCAGAGACATAGAGCTCCAGGGCCAGGGCAACCTGCAGAAAGGTACAGGGAGAGAGAGGACACACTACGGGAGAGAGGAGACACAAAGTTAGTGATGTGTAATGGTGGCATATAGAAGCATAGGGAGAGAGAGGAGAGGAGAGGGGAGAGGAGCTCAGAGCATCATGGGGCCCCCCAGCAGCCTAGGCCTATAGCAGCATAACTAAGGGAAGGCTCAGGGTCACCTGATCCAGCCCTAACTATAAGCTTTATCAAAAAGGAAAGTCTTAAGTCTAATCTTAAAGGTAGAGAGGGTGTCCTGATTTTGGGGACATTGAGCCGGTGAAAGAAGGCAGTTCTAGAGACTTGGTTTATGTGTGATTTAAAGGACATATCCTGGTCAAAAATGACTCCAGGGTTCCTCACAGTAGTACTGGAGGCGAGAGCTTTGTCATCTAGAGTAACTGTATGGTTTGACAGCAGGTTTCTAATAAGATGATGTGATCAGGATGTCACAAGCAGCACTGACATCTAAGAGGACAAGTACAGAGACGAGTCCTTTTTCTGAGGCTAGGAGAAGATCGTTTGTGACTTTCACCAGTGTACCTGTTTGTGCATCTACTTGTCTGTACTCACACTTGTCTGTACACTGACCTGTGTATTACTGTGTACTCACTTCAGTGAGGACACTCCTGGGTGGGAGGTCGATATCCAGCATGATGTTATTGAGGAGTGCAACAGACATGGAGGAGTGGTTCACATCTATGTCGACAAGAACTCTGCTGAGGTACTTTGACCTTTTACCCCTAAACTATGAGCTGAATAGTAATACAGCTGTGGACTACTGTCAGTAGGTTGTCACTGGTCGTCACCAGGAGCATCCACAAGTCTTGTTGTTTCTGACGTGGTCCTCTCTTCATGACAATATGGTCTTTGTCAGAGTGGCATGGGTGTTTACTGTTTCTACTCTCTGTCTGATATTTCCCTGACGTTAACGCAACACATTGTTACAACACAATCAGCGTTACTTTCTCTGTGAAGCATAATGACAAGAACCATAAGCCCCTTTCAGACATGCACTGGAACTCTGAAATTCTCTAGGCATTACCCGCAGGAGCTGTACGTGAGAACGCAAATATTCAAGTGAGTCAACCTGGACCGTAAGTGGACTTTACTCTACTAGCTCCTTCGGATAAAGTCTGCATAAGGACCGAGCGAGCTGGAATGAGCCCATGTGACAATACAGCAGTGTATAGTCCAGAGTATTCACATTGAGCTAGTTGATGACATTGGGTGGGTCACTATCATGTGACCCACGCAAAACAGGACGAATGCAAACATCTGATGGTGAAGAGAAATGGTAATTTACAGTGAAGACACCAACAAAAAGATTCAGGGACTTCTGTCATTAAGAGTCAACACCAGAATCATCAGAGACGTTTAAGGTAGGGCAAGAGGTTAGGTTGTTTTTGACCAAATTATAAACTGGCTGCCTGACCACATCATGTCCTGCTTCCTGCACGCTCTACCCAGGTGCACCCCTCGCGCATAAACTAGACAGTATTTCCAGTAAGTGAGAACACATCTGACATGGACAACCTCCTCTTGTATGCTACATGTATGAAAGGGCAACTCTCGACAAAGTCTGGCCTCAATTCCACGGACATAGTCCAGAGTTTATGTATGAAAACAGCTGAAGAGTATGTATGATGTTTTATCATAGAAAAAAATCACCCTACCTGTACCTGCATGTTGCTCACCTGTTGCTTGGCCCCTCACTTGTCAGTTTGACGTTTGACCTCTTCTTTTACCCCAGGGAAATGTTTACATCAAGTGTCCGTCGATCCCAGCTGCCATGGCTGCCGTCAATGCTTTACATGGAAGGTACTTTGCTGGTAAGACTTCCTTTCACATGACACCTGTTCTATGGACCAATCAGATATCAGTTCTGATGTCTCTCCTGTTGTTTCAGGGAAGATGATCACAGCGGCCTACATCCCCCTACCTACCTACCACAACCTGTTCCCAGAGTCTGTCACCGCCACACAGCTGCTGCTGGCCCCACCACCTCGGCGGTGACTCACTAGCAGTGCTGCCCTCTGATTGGAAACTGGACATGAGTCTGCCTCTCTTTTATAACCTCCTTTCCTATGGGTTGACACAGACAAGTCAGTCCTGATCAATGGCAGCAACAGATGCTGTTTGTTTGTTTTAGTCAGGACACACTCAAGTTTCCTGTTTATTCTCATTTCCGTTTTTATGAATATTGTCCAATGATTGAGCTCCGTGACCTATGAGGAGGCTGGCTTATGAAGATGTAGTCAGCTGATTGGTTGGTTGAAGCCGTTTGGTATTTAACTCTTTTCTAATCAAGAGTTGGTTTTGTAAAATCATTGATTAAATTTTATTTTGAAGTCATTAAGAGCTAATATGTTTTCTTTGTTCACATTCTTTCATAAAATAATTGTTGGACCATGCTCACTGAGCGTACTGGATTCTGTTTGGCTGGAAGGTGAGGTTTAACTACTGGAACTCTTTACTGTCAGGATGTCCCAGTGAATGAATGTCACTTTTGGCTTTTTCTCATTAGGAGTCGCCACAGCGAATCGTCAGTGTCACGATGTTGCATGTTGACATTTGGCACGTGTTTTACGCCAGATGCCCTTCCTGATGCAACCCTGACTCGAACCCGGGCCGTGGCAGCGAGAGCGCTGTGCCCAGTAAGTCCCTAAAAAGCCTCCATCCATCCATTTTCCTCCGCTTATCCGGAACTGGGTCGTGGGGGCAGCAGTCTAAGCAAAGATGCCCAGACTTCCCTCTCTCCAGACACTTCCTCCAACTCCTCTGGGGGAATGCCAAGGCGTTCCCGGGCCAGCCGAGAGACATAGTCTCTCCAGCATGTCCTAGGTCTTCCCCGGGGCCTCCTCCCGGTGGGACATGCCCGGAACACCTCCCTAGGAAGGCGC